TTGTGACATTGTTTCACACACACAGAGCACATTTTATGGTTGTCTTTCATTATAACAGCTTTGTGTGTGTGTGGATGTTTGCACAAGTGTGTTTGTGTGTGAGAGAGAACGAGAGGGACTCGTGCAACAGTGTACAAGCCCGTCTAAATAAACACACAACAGTATCTCCTTACAGGAAGTGGGCCTGAAGCTGTCTGTTCACACAGACTCACAGCTTCTTGGCAGTGTACATACATTATCTTATATATTATATGTATCTTATATTATAGGGAGAATATGAAAGAAGATTCAACTTCATTTTATTTATAAGTTGGATTATAAAATCAACATTTGCCTTTAGCACCAAGCAGCTCATTTAGAAATAGGTACAGAAATTAAAGACAGGAGAAACCAATATAAGTGCCTTCTGCAGTGTCTCTTAGTTGTCTTCAATCACAAATGGAAACACAGATTTTAGTTTACCCTTTGCTCAAGGCTTTGGTCAAACTTTTCACTGATCTAAACATAAAGTACTAGTTTCATTTGTCTCTCTGTATTTCTAATTGTCTCTGTAGGCTCTGTCCTTCATATCGTTTGTGTGTTTTGCGGCATCCTGGGCAGCAGCCTTTGTGACAGTTCCCCTGCTGGAGTTCCTGGCTGCTCTCTTCTTGTTGTTCGCTTACTCCACCAAATTCAATGAGAGGTTTAAAGGCTTTCTGTGGCCTCTTATGGTGAGAGCAATTTTCAAATAAAATGTAAAACTTTGCAGTGGATATACACACCCTGTACATGAGTAGAACTGTCTTCCAGTGCTAAAAAGAAAAAAATAGCCATATGAATTTGGATTTTCCCTCTGAATCATGGTGTTTCTTTCTTTTCTCTCAAAGGATTTCATGAGATGTGTGACTGCCTCCATTATCTTTTTCATCATCTCCATAATTGCAGTGTCCAAATATGGGGATGGTTCCTCTAAGGCTGCTGGGGTAAAGTATCTTTTTGAACTCTCATCTTTACCTACACCACCATAATGTATGTATTACTACAAAGTTTATGCAACACAGCCTTTGTCCAACAACCTCAGTTCCCTTTCACTGTATTGATAGTCATGTCCTTCTTTTCACAGGTATTTGGGTTCATTGCCACTATTGTTTTCGCTTTAGATTTTTACCTCATTTTTAATGAGCTGGCCAATTTCCTAAAGCAAGGAGGGGAGTCTAATGACGAGCCATCAAGACAGCAAGGTAATACCCCAAATTACAATCTGATATATGGCTATATAAGAAATAACCCTATGGACATATAGTTTGATCCAATATCTGTTTTTTTCACATATTAAAAGGTATATGCTGATATGTATCAGAAATGGTTTTGTACATACTGTATCTGGTAATTTTATGTAGGTATTGTATGTATTGCTACTTTGTGGTGTTTGAATATCCTGTGCTTTAAAGTGCACATACTGACATATTTGTTTTTGTTAAAATAATATATACATTACTTAATATAAGCATTTATGGTATACATAAATTACAACTGTGTAGCCCAGTTTGTTTTGCAAAATATTTTAAAATTAAATTTAATACATACAAGAAAATGTCATATTTTGGGATATTTGTGTACTTTAACTACATGTTGGTGCAGCAATTAGCACTGCCACCTAACAAGAAATAATTCCACAGTCCAGCTGGATGGATGGAGGTGGAGGCAGCAATTTAAGGATCAATACATTAAAACCTCTTATATAAGCGGGTATGGTATAAAAACATAAATATCTGTATTTGTACACAAGTATGTTGGACATATACAGTATAAAACTTGGCATTTCTGCTAGATGTTGAGATATATGTATAAATACATGCCCATATTGTAAAAATCCTCTGCCGGTTCTGCCAGTCCAAATAACATAAATCATCTAGCAAGATGTAGCCATGCAGCTGCGTTTCCACCAAAAGTACCCGGGAGTTAGGTGTGTTTGGCCAGGGTTTGAGATATCTGTCTCTGCGACTGAATTTCATTTTGGGTGGGCTGTTAATGTTTTTTGTACTTTGGGTTAACCTAACCTTTAAACTTAAATGTTGACTTCTTTGGGCTGTATTTTTTGTTATGGTAAGTTGCGTTGACATGGCAGAGTGCAATTTAGATATGAAACAGGGTTTGTGCTTCAACCCCCTTCTACCCACTATGGTCTACATTTTACTGCCAGCACAAATACAAAAGTTAGAGCATAGACAGACTGCATCAACATTCAAAAAACTCATTTTTATGCATGCTACATGTGCCTCTTTCACTTTGATATTAACTGTTTGTTCACTTTCTACACCTCTAAATTGTCTCTGGTCAAGTTTGATTAGTTATTTTCAGTGTCACAATTGAAATGCTTTCACCTCCTTTACATTGCAGAGGTGGCACAAGTTTCGGGGATGGATATTTTTAGACTTCCTTGACTAAAATAAAAACTATCTGCACTTTTGCAGATGCCGCTATGGGGGAAGTGATATGATTTTGATGTGGGTGAACCAACCTTTTCAACATAATGTTTTTCTGTCAAATTTTGCACTTAGTTAAATAGAACCCATAATTATTATTTGTGATTTATCATGACTCAACCTCAGATTGTTTAATCCACCATGTCCCGTCATAGTTTGAAAGACAAAACTACCCTCAAGTACACCATAATATCTATCCATCCATCCATCCATCGTCCATACCCGCCAAACCCGCTTATGGAGGGTGTGCACCATATTATTTTATTTGTTACTTTCTTGCATGAAAGTCACTACTACTACACTTGCCAATATTGTTTTCACATATGTAACATGTCCACAGAAGGCCCACCCGGAGACACTCTTTCTAATACCAGAGGTGCTTTTTCAATTTTGTTTTCTAGATCATTCTTCAGACTCTGATTCGGACTGAGACCACAGGGAAATCTTCACCAGCAGACATGTTATATTAGACAAAGCAAACCGTTGCAGAAGAAATGGCCATCTGCAAAGATCGGCAAGTGTTTCAATATGTCACATGGATGAAGAAGGAGGAGGATCCAGATCCTCTTCAGTCATCCTCTCTGAATAGAATTCTTTTGTTGAGTAACCACAGGTGAAAATGTATTTCACATTGAAGAGACTGTCATGTCTAAAAACAGTCGAAGGTAAATCACTAATTTACTGGTCATTACAAGTAGTTTATAAAATAATTTTAAAAATGCTATTTTTCAGGCCCAAACCCATATCCAGTGTCTTCAATGATTTGGGGAAAATATAAATGTCATTGTTAACCTGATGTTTCAATTATCATAAAGCTGTGAAATAGTTTGATCGCAGTATGCAGAGTCCTTAGAAGCTGTTAGTACAATCTACATGTAGGAGCACATGTCTGAATCTGAATTTATGCCTAATACTGACTTTTTGGCATGAATCTGACGCATATTAAACAACAACACTAAATGAATGTCCTTAGTGAATACATGTTTAGGAGTACTAAGTTGCATTTTAACAAAGATGTTTCAACATTTTTAAATGGAAGCGCTACATAAAAAATGAAAAGACGGGAGGCATATGTTTGTGGGGCATCATCCTCACTTATAAATTCACAGTATTACTATAAAAAACATATGTACAGTATATAGAAGAACAGATTGGTTGCAGGTTGGCTGGATACAACCTCTGTGCAATTGTCATAACTCTACAAGAGTGTATTTTTTTTATTTGAGGATAATGTTTGCTTATCGTATCTTCCTTTAAATTCCACTTTTGGATCAACAGAGTTCCTGTGGTGTGCTATACTGCATGCCAAACTGTTCTGGCTTGATACATTGTTTATATGTGCGAAAATGTTTACCTAGATGTAAGCAACAAAAATGGTGATACATTTTCAAACCTATTCAATTAACCAAAGTTTGACAGACTCTCTACTCTTATGTTTCAGTTTGTGTACTGTACTTGCTTCTTACAACCTGTGTATGTGTGAATAACACTGCATCGAAGCCACTTAATGCTTACTGAATCTTGAAAATCACCGTTTCTTATTTTGGCTGTCCATTCACATTGTTTGTTTTTGCCAATTCTGCATGTATGTTTGATTCTTCAGTTCTTCCATTGCCACTACTGAGAAATTAGACGCACTAGAACGCCACAGTGACTGTTTATGTAGTAAACACAACGTGAGTGTTACAACAGCACTGTGAATTGAATGGATGTAAATTGCCATCTCTAATTTCCACGTGGAAAGCAGTTTATTAAAATAATAGTTAAGAAAATACTTCCAAAGTTGCAATTACATCCAATAATTATTCACCGTTGTGCCTTTTGTGGGAGAGTTTGTTTTTTTACTTTTGTGGTTACATGTGTATTAAGATTGTGTTTGAACGGTGAGTAGAAATATGCAAATGTTGCTCCCCAATCTCAGCCAGCTGAGAGCTATAAATGCACATCTACTGGCAAAAGATGCAAGAGAACCGGCCTTGACTGATGCTGATTAGTGTGTTATGTTATATGTGTTCAAACCCCGGTTGCCCCGGCCTTTCTGTGGGGAGTTTGCATGTTGTCCGCGTGGGTTCTCTCCGGGTGCTCCAGCTTCCTCCCACCATCCAAAGACATGCAGGCTAGGTTAATTGGTGTCTCCAAATTGTCCTTAGGTGTGAATGTGAGCGTGAGTCTGTCTGTGTGGCCCTGCGATGGACTGGCGACCTGTCCAGGGTGTACCCCGCCTTTCGCCCAATGTCAGCTAGGATAGGCTCCAGCCCCCCTGTGACCGAAAGAAACATTTAATCCTTCATTTTATGTGAAAGCTTCACAGAAACACCCTCCCCACATCTGGAGATGCATGATTTTCACCAGACAGCAACAAAAGACACTCATACTCCTTTGCCGTGCATACAGTTTAAAAATAATGTTAAATAATGACATTCAGCATTAGGCCTATTGCTGAAATATTGTAGGTGAAATATAACATTTTAGTATTGTTTTTTTTTTTACTATTTTGGCTTTTTGTGTAAAAAAAAGTTTGAATAAAAACCTGAGTTTTTTTCAATAATGTCCAAATCACTTTATTTAAATTGTCACTATAAACCAACGTGAAGCCTCTTATGATTGTTTTAAATACATAAATACAGCATACAGCTAAGTACGGCTCCATGCTGTAACAAGACGGACCTCGTTGTAATCATTAACAAAGCACGCAGAATTAAAAGAAAACAGAAAAACATCTCACCCCTAACCTCATCCAAACAGTCAGGCTAATCATGTCCGCTGTTTAAAGCACAATCTGGAAACTAGTGGAAAGCATTTCTTCTCTTCCCCAGAAATACAAACAGTTCATAACATGTTGTAGCATAAAGTTGTGGGCTATACAGAGAGCTGCAGCTTGATAGTTCGTGAAAAATACATTGGTCATGGTCATTTTATATAATCAAATAACATAATAAAATGTCGCAATGTTCGCTGTACAAATGTTTATGTGAACATTTTTCATCAATCAGAAACAAATCCATCAATGTAACTGACCAAATAACAAATATGATTGTCTATTCATAAAACTACTTCGGTCACAAAACCAGGAGAAATAGCAGTTGTACATAATACAAGTTACTAAAACCATGAGAAAAGTCTGATTAATGAAGCCTCTTGTGTACTGTGGAAACCTTTTAGGCTATTTAAGAAGTCATACAGTTTTTAATTTTAAACAACAGTCACATACAATTCTGGTCCTCCACTTGTACACACACTACTGTAATTTTCTGGCTGTACAGTCCGCCCACTGACGTCACAATGAGTACATTGTAGATGACGACCAGGAGATGGAGCCATAGAGTCGATTTAGAGCCTGCACACACCCACCCAAGCCTAATATACACAAAGAGCTCTCAAACAACACCAAAAACATACACATGTGTAACTGTAGTGTAGATTCAATGCATTAGAACAATACAAGACACAAGTTGACATTTCTTCCTTCATCCTAAAAAGCAAATATGATGTCATTTTTACCTGTTTGTACAGGTACACTGGCCGAACAGAAAAACATTAAAGGTATGCCAAGTCTGTTTTGCACTCCATATGTATATATGAGCTTTAAAACAGCTGCAATGTGGAATGATAGAGATTTCATTATACATAAAGTGTAATAATATTCTGTAGATACATATACATTTTGATTCAACCTAAAACAGAGTGCAAGCTGTGACAATAATGTACCATATTTCCATCCCACTGTCCCGACCTTCATGTGACTCTTCATTTTTTAATCAATTGTGTTAGTTAATTCCATTCTCTATGATAGTCCTACGTGTAATAATTAGGAAGGCATAAAGAAATACAGCATTCAGGTCAGGCACCCTGTGATTTCATGTGAAATATGTTTTTTTTGTTGCTGTTGCAAGAATCAAAGATTTAAAGGAGTATGTGAATACCTGAGATACAGTGTATAAGCTAAGGACATTGATCTTGACCAGGTCACCTACTGGTTTGTTTGTTTCAAAATGAATCTCACTGATGTGCCGTCAGCATTTGTATTACCTGAGGCCTTGGATATGTGCAAAACTAACAAGATACCAATTATCTTCCAAACATCGCCTTATATAACCTACTCCTGGTTCACAGTGTTGACCTCACACAGACCTCAAAATTACAAATTTTGGAATTCTAGTGTGAATATTTTTTGGATAGTTTATACACAACCTGGCATAAAGTAGATGGAATGAAGTATTAAATAATTTTCTTTTTGGTCTCATAATTGTGTCAAACCCATTGGATGCATTTGTGTTGCAAAGAAGTACTTTTACTGATTTCAGAATGTTCAACTTTTATTGTACTGTCTGTATTGCAGTTAAGAAAGACCCTGTTACTGTGTAATTTCAGGCAGGAAAGATCTTAATATGGGCTAAAGGTCACAAAGGCATTTGTAGAGTTAGTCAAGACAAAGGAGAAACAAAATCTTATGTCAACATGTGTAATCTTTACACTATAATATCTAATGTCAGCCTTGCTCGCAGGTAGAAGCCAAAGGCTGGTGTCAGTATTTAAGAAAGAACAGTAAAGTCATGGTGCTTCTGCTGTACTGCAGGTTACTGTATGTTGCTGGTACAATGCCTTTCTGGATCCACAATCCCATTTATTACCACAGACTTCACAGAAAGCAGCGTGAAACAAGCAGACTGTACAAAAGCTGACCTTCTTTTACTCGACTTCATTCACAGTGAAACACTAAAATTTCTAAAAAGTCAACACCTACGCCAGAACAGAAGAAGGTGCACAGTTGGAGTGAAGTCACCCTTTTTTTGGGCTCTTTGTGGAAGTCATCCTTCACAATGATTTAGAAAGATATGTGGATGAAATGTTTTTCACGGAGAATACCTTAAATTCTGACTCGAGCTCTTCACCTTGGTGTTGTGATGAGAAGTCAAAAGCATGTGGTTAGCTTGAGATGGCCCATACACTGAAGACTTGAATGAAATACTGTTCTAAAGGCAGAGTCCATCTCAGTCAGCTGCCGGTAGTGTGGCTTTCCCATAGTCTTTCTGATTGTCTGCCAGCACTCATGCAAGCTCAGGTCTTGCCTCCATTTCTCCGCGAGATGCCGTTCGTGCTCGCATGTACTCACTGGTCAGAGCCGCCCCCGGACACCCATTGCCAAGGCGCCACCTCCGTACTGCCAGGAAGGTGTTTATTCCATACACACCTGTCACCAGGAAGCCAAAGACCTGCACACAAGTGGAAACAGGAAGTAGGAAAACAATGTATGAATCTGAATGGGAACCAAAGGCTGCACGGTTCCTGAAATGTGCCCAAAATCGTATTTGCACTGACAAATTTATTTTGATGTAGTTACACCAGAAACACATGGAAATCTGTACGGAGTGATAACAGGCTTAAAAGCTTACATGTTTGCTTGCATAAGTAGATATATAAAGAGAAATGAGAAATGAGCTCATCAGATAGTATGTGACCCGGTGATCACCCGTGCTCACCCAGACATATGAGATAAAAGTCTGTTGGCTTCTTTAAGTACTTTTGCTGAGGTCTTCAGTTGCATCATTATATTTATACACAAGTATGAATCCTTTGTGATGTGTCTTCATAGGAAACATGCTAACTGATAAGAGAAGGTTTGTAAAGATGTCTGATATGTTTTGTATATGTATATCTTGGCAAAGGAGGATGGTTCTGAGTACACACCACTGCTGCTATTTCAGCTCCAGTGTTGTGGTTGATGCAGGCCAGCACAAGAGACGACAAGAAGAAGAAGAAGGTGCTGGCAGCAGTGTTAACCAGGTCCTACAGGAAGACACAAAAACATACAAGATTACATTAGATTCTAGATGTGCATCAGTACTATTTTTTTCAGGACTTAGTACCAAGTATTTCATGAGGGGAGCAGCTAATGCAGAGTATTTAAACAAATTGGAATTTGTCATTTATCATGTTGTCAAATTAAACAATGGCTGTACATGAATGAGTGTGTCAATTCTGTTTCTGCATAAACACATGCAGTTAGGGCATCATTTGAAATTGCTCAATACTACAGCCCCAATACCAAAACAATATTTTTTTAGACACCTTGCTTTGAGGAATATAAACATGTTTTTCAACAAGTCTTTTTGTAATTTAACAAAAAAAACTTATTGTAGAAGCACAGCCTAAATTATAACAAAATTCTGATTTAAACCAGGAACTATTTACAGTTTTCAGTACTTAGTGCGATGGACACATTTTCAGCCCCACAAGTAGTATTTATCATTTATAAATCCATAAATTCAATTAAAATATAGAGAAAATATCTATTCATACAGTGGGCTTAACATAACACTTTAATTTAATGCACCTGAGGCACTCAAAGCGACAATGCTACAACAGCTGCCTCATGCATTTTAGATTTTAATCATTTTTAACACACCAAAGAAATTTTGCCTCACAGCAGGACATGTTTGTTATGCCAAAGCACATCGTTTAAAGTAATAAAGTAATCATGAAAAAAAAAAAACTGCAGGGGGACAAAGAGGCCAACAACACATACTTAAAAGCAACCTAGCACCCCATATTAAACACAAGCACAAATATACCCTCTCCACTCACTCCATCCCCCACCTTTTTACACATGAGAAGGAAAATGAAAGGGATACTTCCCTTTGATGTTTTACACTCCTGGTATTCGCAGTACAGACCGTTAGAAAAGGGTTAATAGTGAAGAGCTCAGCATGACTGGAGCATGACCCTCGTGATCAGATGCGTGATAGTGATCATGGCAGACACGGCCTCTCATATGACACAACACTCACACAATGGAGATGTCACAAACACTGAAACAGACACACATGCGCACTATAGATGAAGCAAACAACTCAGCAGGGCATAAATACTATGACAATTTGTAACTGATCCTGCGGTTTAATCAGTAAGTATGGAACCTTCAAACAAAATCATAACCCCACCCACCACACACACACTACAAACACTGTTTACAATACACACACACACCCCATCTATCTTGCTCGACTGGTTAAACAGGAAATACTGCACATTCACATTCTGGTGTCCTGTCCCCGTGTGCAGAAAAGCTTTTCTCCAGCTTTCAGATCCCACATTCACTCAAGATCCTGTCAGTTAGGTCCCTGCGCTTCACTCTTTCACTCCATTCCACGTTTTCACCAGGCCAGCACTCCGCAAGACCTTAAATAACACAAGCACAGACTGGACCAAACCACTGGCTCTCTGGTTTATTATTGGCTTGTAAAATAGTTTTACAATCTTCTCTCTATCTGCTGCGATTCACAGCATTGAACAAAACTGAGGTTTTCATCCTTAATCCTAGAACTATAAATTTATTTCAAAATGTTGTATTGTTGTATGTAACCCAAGCAGTTACATAATTTGGGATGGCATCCAGTTTAATCCTCGGTCAACCTTGGCCAACTGCATATACATTGTTTGCTCCAAGACTTTCCCAGTGTAAACTATTTGAGAGTGCCTGCAAAACAAGTAAATATACAAGTAAAGTAAAATATAACAATTTAAAAAAGATCTCTATTTTGATAGTAAGGATCATGACTAATCAGAAATCTGTAATTATTTTATTTTGTGTTTGTACACCAGGTTTGTGCACAAAAGGGAGATGCTTTTTGCTGTACGTGCTTCTATGTTTCGATTGTGCTCTCATGATAGAAGCTAGAAATACTAATTGGGCTGCATCTATAACAACCTTAGAGGACGCAGCAGAACACTAATTATGAAATTTAGTCTCTTGACAGTGACGGCGAGTCACACAGGGCCAGAAAGCTTCATGCGAGAATAGCATCTCACCGCCTTTCACATCTATATCTGATTCTCTTTGAAAGACAAATAAAGATAGCAGGCAAGTATTTCATGTCTTTTGTCTGCTTGGGTGGCAAACTTCAGCTGTCAAAACCAAGAAAGCTTTTATTGGATTCCACTTTCAGGCAAAGTAAATACAACATGAGTAAAGTGGTCTCTGATCTGAACTGATGATAGATTAATGACTATAGCTATTAATAACCACAAACCCCGGCCGTGTGTTTGGATTCAGCAGAGATGTAGATCATTACTGGCAGAATAACATGGGATCAATCAGAGAAATGTGCATGCATACTATACATATAAACAACATACTTCATGTTCATGGGGTAAATTCTGTTGAAACCCATCAAGAATCGTAATCCTTTGCTTGCATTATTATCCATTAGAGTACACTGTGGTGCTAAACTGATGCTTTAATGCTGGTATGTGTGTGTAGTAGGGATATAAACAAATACATTATTTGAAAATGAACAACAAAAATGCTTTTTGAATAGCATCTGAATTTTTGCAATACTAATTGTTGGCCACACCTTCCTCCCATCATAACTCAGTGAAATCATAAAACTCAGGCATCACAAACACCATTACAAACATCCATAAATCTGATTAAAAACTTGACTTTTTTCTTCGGTATAAAAAGTAATCCAGCTAATTTTTGTCAGTAACATTTGAACTGGAACTGCTATACTATAAAAATATAAATATTGTGTTTTTTGTATATTTTGTTGGCAGCTAAACTTCTAAATAGTGTAAGTATTCATGGCAGTAGAAAACAATTTAGATACAATACAGATATTTTTGTGACATAAACAGATACAGACAGCAGCTTTGTGTTATGCCCCTAGGGTGTAAGGCTGTGATGGGTCCAGTCAGCACCCACCAACTGTCTTCCCTCTGAAGTACCCAATTCATTTACATGTTAATTGTGATGAGATACTGTCTGTTCCCTATATGAAACAACCAGAATATATTGGGCACACTGCCTGGGTAGTCAAACAGTTGCTCTCTTTTTAAAAGGAGAATGACAACACTAATATCCCTATAACCCTCCCCTTTAGCCTGTGAATGTTCTTCCTTGTGTGTGGGTCCTCAGGGTTGCCCCATGTCTGTCCCAGAACCCCCGCTGAATGGCCAGCAGTTATTTGGCTGTGCAAATTAGGAAAACAATGGCCTGTATGGTTTGATTGTATCTGTCTCTCTAGCCGGTTGTGCAAAACAAGCGTATTCACGCAAACTAAAACCTGAAGTTAAACATAGTAACTAAAAGTCACCAAGCGGCTTTACAGCAAGGTCCCAGGACTCTGTCCCAGGACAGCATTCATTTCAGTGTTGAAGGAGAGGAAGTGGGTGTCAGGGCCTGAGTTTCCCTCTCTGTACTGCCAAAGTCATCATAAAGGGTGAATTAGAGAAGATGGGATCACATAGCACATAATTGTATGATCAAAACCCTCCTTCTGAGTCTCAACTGCATTATAAAACAACTCACTCCACAAAGAAGGAATAGTAGCGCCAGTCTACGGATTAGAGCCGAAGCAGAAGGGTTAACAGTTGGTTAACACTCTGAAATGGCTTACTCATGGTGAAATTCCCAAGGGCTCAGTGTGACTGGAGCAGCTTCTAACTCGATAGACATAAACAGCGTGGGGTGCAGCTTACAACTGTGTGGAGTGGAACCTGGCATCATGGGCTTGTTAGCTACTAGTCAGGGCAGAGACTGTGAAATCTGGAAAGCAACAACTACTGTATGTCTTTCTTTCCTAGAGTTTACCAACCAAAAGTGAACAAAAGAGGGTTTTAGTGGCATAAACACAGAATGTGTTGTTCTCCAAATATATATTCTTTTTCCCCCTTTTTTTAAAATATGAAAGTCTCAGTATCTTTACGCATAACAGTATGTTTCCAGCAATGCCAATGAGCCAAACCACAGGCCACAACAGTCTTTGAAGAACAACCTCCTCTGTGGGTCTAACTCACAACTGAACTTACTCCAACACACGTCTGTGCACACAAACACACACACATAAACAATACATGTTAATTACATATTTTAAGACTATGAAGTGGAAAAATAAACAAGTCAGTGCTGACATGACAAAAGTCAATGAGCCACGGGGGTGAAAAGGAACAGAACATCTCAGAAAAAGATAGAACAGGAGGATTTTACATTATATGAACAGCCTTTCCAAGACTGTAAAAAGCTTTCATTTGGTTTCGCCAGAAGTAGAAGCCAAAGGCACACCCTCTCTTCATGTTTGAGGTGGAATATTGTACTAAGGATACCATAAAGCAATCTGATAGCTATGGTTGGATTTGGACATCTGGCTTAACATCCACTGCTTTACTATGATATGTACGCTGTGTGGCCTCTGGGAATACATTTTGAGATGTTTTTTTCCACTCACCTCTGTAAAGGATACCTGGCTGCAGCTCAGAACACGCCAATGTGTGTATGTAGGCAAATACAGCCAGTATCTGATGGAGAACACCCACCAACTCATTTGCTTACAGCTGACAATGCACATCCTGGTGGTAACACAGAAACCGTATGCCCTCCCAACCAGTTCCATACTCACTAAAGTTTCACAGTTTCACTTGTGTAATGAGCTTCTGCTGAGCTTTACCCTGATAATAAATACAAGACTATACAGTCAGTGAGTACAAGCTGTACTCATAGGCTAAGTGTTGCTTTGAATTAAATGCTAACATCAGCTTGGGAACATGCTCACAATGCCAAACCCTAACATGCTGATGTTTAGCAGGTATAACATTCACATCATAGTTCAGCATGTAAGCATGCTAACATTTGCTTTATTAGCGCTAAACACACAGTAGTGCTGAGGTCGATGGGAATGTCAAGGTAAATGATTTTTGTTTTGCTGCTAGTGTTGCTAAATTTTGTAAAAAAGTATTTATCAGTTACTTAAGGAAATTCCGCTATAAAATGAAGCATGCTGCTAGATTTACTTGTGAGCCAAGGAAACTAATCTGTTAGTTCAGCTCTTTGACAAAAAATTAAATAAAGCCTGCAACCAAATGCTTCCACACAGCATACTTGAAAATGTATGGCATTTTGGCAAATTCAGTGTAGCCGTAGTCCATCTTGCAGTTGTGTTAGGTGCAGTATACAGACACAAGTCTAGGATTCAAGCTAACACTTTGTAACCTTGCAATCTCTAGTAATTAAACCTTCAATCAGCTGTGTTAGCTGGTCTCGTGTGTCAGACTTGAACATTTCCCGAGTGACTGTGTGCCAACCGGCGGCCATTTTGTCTCAAATTTTTGTCACATCCCTTGTCAAGAACCTTTTGTTCTAAACTGAGCCAAGTATATGACGCATCATGACAGTAATGACACATTATGTCTCCCTGTACCTACCGTGAGGCTCCAGTTGACGTGGGGCACCTTGGTGTGCAGGTTGAGGATGAAGATCAGGAGGAGGACTCCTGTCACCACGAAGGCACTGCAGCTAACAAACTCAAAGAAGTAGACCCCTCCACAGGGTGAGCACATCATGATAGTCTCTATGCAGATGAATCCAATAAGGGATAGGACCTAAAGTGAGAGTCCCAGAGAGAGAGACAGGAGAAGAAAACAGTATAGTATATAGTATAGTGTGTATTTTAAATATCTTACCCTCTAAATAACAATATCAATAAAACCGTTTACAATTACATCACACGTTTGATTTGTGTGACTAGATGAATGTCAAAGTCATCCTAAAGTTCCAGCAAGTATACAACAAATTATCTCATTTTTAGTGTCAGTGTCAGTAACATAAATACAAAATAAATGTTTACTGGTAATAGGCTACTGTTCATAAGCATGAAGATTACTGTAGGTCAAGCCATTTCTGTAACTTTATGTGAGTGTTTGTTAGAGCTGAAATTCCAAGCTTTCCAGATGATGAAGTGATTGTCCTATGAATAGACCAGAGGCCATGGGTCCATCTCATGAGTCCCGCTCCTGGCAGTCTTTAAAGATGCCTCCCTCCAGCCAACATCCATCAACAAACCACAGTACGGGAAGAATTCTGCTATTTAGGTGTTCTTCTGCCATCTAGCCCCCGACAAAACCACACACAAATTACCAATTGGCTCAGAGCGGTCCAAGCACCAGAGACATAACAGAACCAAGAGAAGACCACTGCAACATATTATCGACCTGGAGCAGCCGATTTCAAACCAGTTTAGTCCAGATCTGCTTGGTCTACCAGAACAGGACAGTTTGAATGTTTTGTATTAAATGTTGATATACTATAATACATTGTGTAATGATGGGTTTGAGTTGAAGGATGATTGGAGGTTAAACTGCAAGAAAATTGCAACATTTTGAGCTTTTCCAAAAGGCACAACCACTTATGGCCATATTTACTGGGCTTTTTAGTCTTTGCATCGTATTCATTGTGTATTTGTGCCTGAAAGAGCAGATTGATTGTCACCTAAGGCATGCCTTGTGTCTTATCTGTGTATCTCTATTTCAATAAATTGTTCAGCCCTAATCACAATAGTGTTTGATTACATTGGATTTACAAATGTTCATGCAAAAAGTAAGGGCCAGTTTTGCATGAGCAGATGACATTTTACATAGATTTTAGAGGGCCCCCCCCCCCCCCCCCCCTTTCTCCATCATATGAAAAAGGTACCTGCCATGACATCTCACTTGTTAGTGAATTTCATGCAAAGTAAATTAAAGTTAAAATGTCATGGTTGATTTGGAAACCATATGGTTTGTAGTCACAGCCCGAAGAGCAAAGATTAAGAGGATGAGCATGAAAGAGGATGAAATATTTTGTTGACACATGCTTTCTCTCACGACAGGGAGAATATAAAGACATTAGAATGGAAAATAAAGACATTAGATATTTGCTACACTTTCTCTTAAACTCACCAATTCAGTCAGAACAAAGAGTAACTAAGAGTGCAGTAAAACATAACGTGAAGTTTCTAAAAAGTTGTAGGTGTCACTCATTCTTCCACGAAGAGATGACTGAGGTGCTGCTTCATTAGCATCTTTTTCTCCATCAGCGAGACACTGAATGTCTCACTGCTCCAGGTTGCTTGGATCACTTGATATCAAGCAACCTAGTAAGAGTTAGGGTTACCATTTTATGGTTAGGGTTAGGGTAAGGGTCCAGGGAACACATTATGTCAATGAGGGTCCTCACAACTGTAGAAGTACAAAGATGTGTGTGTTTAATGAAGATGTAAGAAAGACAATGATTTGCTAAATCTGTGCCTAGTATATACAGACTGCTCATAAATCACGAAGTCTGTTTTTGGTATGTATTGCTATTTGGGAAATGGGTTATTTTTGTAATGACTTTTTTTGCAAGTATCTAAACTTCACCAACTGTACAACAAAGCCTTTTCTGGAAATAAGATATTTATTTACCTTTCTTTTGCATAAAAGTCTACTAAGATTCTCAGAAATGGCTGCATCTAAAACTCAGAATCCCGTTTATTAAGAAGCTAATCTGACTCCAAAGTGTCCATGTAAAAATGCTTCAAAGTTAAAAGACTTCAAAGTTAAAATCCTAACAATGGGATTGTTTGTGAAACCCAATGCAGATTTTCATCCGATGTGAATCCAACTTCAATCTACCACCACTAGCTGTATCTCATTGCTCGACACTGCTGAACAAATGCATTTGAGAAAAAAAACTGTCTCATTAGCAAAAGAGCCATCCTCCTCTCTCCTATCTCTCAGTAGCTCAATCACCAACCTAGTTTATCCAGTTGAATGAGCAGAGTGCACGGATTCTGACCAGTGTTGTTCTTTGATGCCCGGCACTGTCAGTGGAGAACTCTCCTGTTTGTGACATTGCAATTTTCCTCTTTGGGTGATCACCTCACAGGAAACACTTAAAGAGGGGGTATTATGCTCATTTTCAGTTTCGGGTTTCAGGTTAGGGGTTGTACCAGAACAGGTTTAGATGGTTTAATTTTCAAAAAACACCATATTTTTTGTCATACTGCACATTGCTGCAGTTCCTCTTTTCACCCTGTGTTGAAGGCTTCGTTTTAGCTATGTATGTAGTGATACATCTTGTCTCTATATGATCTTTGTTGGGAGTTGCACATGCACAGTTCCTAGTTAAGGACTACTAGCCAATCAGAAGCAGAGAAGGGCGGGTCAGTGAGAAGTCAGTAAACACAGCTTCGGTTCAGCTGTGTGTTCATGACCAGCTTGGCAACATAGACTGGAGAGAGAGTTTGGTGAGTGGTGAGTTATTAATCTGTAACAAATGTATCTTTCATCCATAAAGTTTTAACTGAGCTCTGTCTCTACATCACAGTAACAACTTTATGTCCATTGACTGCCTGGAGGGTAGCTAGTGTTTGGAAGGGAGAGGACGTGTCGATTTTGAGGGCGTGTCAGGCTAGCCGCTTGGCGAGCGTTATATGAGGCGCATTTAGCTTCCATGAAAGGGAAACGGCTGGACTACAATCAAGTTGTTTTCAGGCAGTTCACAGAGCAGTTTTCTGTGGGAGATAGGAACTCCCTTTGGGGTGGACTTTGGGCTTTTTCACTTTGCAAACCTATTACATGCACAAAAAAGGTATATAACTCCACAAGGTCCACATACAGTAATGCATGAACACATGTCCAGCAGGAAAACAGGAGAAAGCGAATCCACTGGGCCGACCAACATTAAGACAAAGGTTTCGTTTTGCACAGCTGTTGAAGCCTCATTAGAGCGTGTCATCGGATAGCAGTTCATCTGTGACTGTAACACAACCAAAAAGGTTACACCCAAACATGAGTGGAGTGCTGCTTGGGCTGAGGGATGATGTCATGTCTCTTGAAGAAAGCATATTGCTCTCCCCACATCCCTGTGTAGCAGGTGTCAGGCAGCCACAGGAGAGGAGACAGGGGTTGACAAAGCGCCATACAGGATAATCTTTTAAGTAATGATTTTATATCAACCTCCACCCCTATGCAACCTGCTCATTGTGATTGCATAAGTGCATGATCATGCACATCAGCTCCCTTCTCCCTCCTGCATGCACACGCATTCTTATCTTTGGGATTAAGCACATTATTAGTTGCCTTTAAAGGCCTCTTGGACTCAGATCTCCTTCTTATACGCCATCTGTTGTGGACAGAAAATGAATGGAGGAGAAAAGCGGCCTCGCTCCAGAGACCATGCAACATTATATGCTGCACTCTCTATGCTATGGGACCTCATAAATAATTACACACAAATAATTACCCAAAAATGTTGAACATGCTTATCCATGTGATGAGAAGTGTAGCCTGAATGACGGTCCCCACATGCATGCGCAGCATGCGCAACGTTCTTGTTGTCTTTATGTCTCCCTGCAAGCTCAGAATAAGTAATGTTTCAACCAGAAGAGAATGAAGCATATGGCGTCTCTCTCTGAGCAGGAAGTGCTCGCTGACATTTGGGAGCATCTGGTAACTTCATTACACGACATCCACAGACGGGAAAAAATATTGTACCATAATATTTAATTACCATACTACTACTTTATTAGAATAGTAGTTAAAAGAAAAACATGGGTCCACACACCATCATGAGTGAACTGAAATTCATCATGAAGGTATATGGCTTGTTGGGAAACAAAGAGAGTATGATTTGTGTCCTCTCGGGCCCAGTGAGTATCAAATTCCAGTCATGGTAGAGGGTTGGACTTTGTTGACCCAATCACAGCAAAGAGACAAACCTGATGTCAGGATGCACACCTCGGTCAGGTTACATCCCACAGGGGGTTGTTTCCGATCAGTACAGGGTCAGCAGCAGCCTGCGTATCCATCCATCCAAGGTATGACAAGTTGACTGGCTCACTAAAAGCCTGTGCAAATGCATTTTAGTGCTCCAGTGTGAAACAACTACACAGTTCTATTAGCACTTAGCATCCTGATCTGCACAGAGGGTAACAGAATATTTCAGTAAACATGGGTCAGTGCAAAGGTCAGAGTGGTTTTTAACTACTACCTTAGTGCAAACAAGGCATGGGTGTGGATGTAATATAATAAACATTACCTTGGCAAAGACATAAGGAAGTATGAACAATGCCAAAGGGCCCAATAACGTTTGAGTGATGATTGGCAAAACTGACATCACAAAACCAGTATTTTATACAGCAGAACTCCTTATTACTCCATGTGTCCAAAAAGGTATGTGGATCTTTAAAGAAGCCTGTGGTACAAGTACTGTTCCTTACCAGTCCATTCTGCACTGATGTTAATCATTACTCCATGCAACTGATTTCTGCACAAAGATGATCTATTAACATATGAACACTGCCCTTTCGGCCTCAGAACAACTTTCCGTAAACACAGTTATATAAATAAAAGGCACAATACCTCCTTGGCATATGAGCGCAACTTTAGTTACTTTGCTTTGTCATTTGTTCTAGTAGAGCATCACACAGCCTCAGCTGGCACAGAGTTAAACTATAAGAGGAAAGAGCAGTAAAATGCAAGCCAGTGATGCTATTAATGTTTGGAAACAATCCTTGTAAGCCTCCTCTAAGATACTGAATGTAAACTTGGATGACTTTCAATAGTCCTGTCCTTGCCAGTGAAGCAGGAATGACAAGCTCAAACTGGAAAGCCAGTACCAGTGCACTGAACCATTTACATAAATATAAAGCGTAAACAGAAGATTAGTAAAAGTAACTAAGAAAGCTTTACCATAGATGCTATATTTTACAGCATATATCTGACAAATGTTTAGGGATTTCCATTCAGAGATGAGTTTGCACTTCTTTTCTACCCGTTGCAATATTTGCATGTCATTTCTATCTTTCTGTGTAACAATCTGGTTGTTTTTTTGCAGTATTTGTATTTGTGCCTTTGCAATATTGAGTGCAGGTTTTATTTTCAATTTTTTGCACATGGCAAATGTGGCAAACCAAAACTCACTTGTGAAGCTGATTATTGAACCTAAATACTTCTTTGGTGGTGACCGAAATGCTCTAGGTGATGAACACTGACAAAAACTTGGATTACATGTCCCTTCAGATTATAATCATGTTTGTACCTTGATTAAATCATACGGTTTTGTTAATTAATTTTTATTAGATTTTTTTGAACAGCTAACACTTAATATTTAAAAACTTTGTCTTATTTTGTTCAATTAAAAAGGTTTCGTTGTTTCCTAATGCAAGCTATCAAAAGTATTCTATCACTACTGAAATTCAGGTATTACAATACCTCTTCCTTTTGTAAGACTCAGCCACCAAGCAGGTACACCTGCACATGTATTAAAAGTCACATTCGAACCATGAAGCCAGGGACCAGCATGATTGAATATAAAGATTATTATTTTTATTGGATTACATTTCTTTGGTCTCTGCAGCTAAAGGAATGTTGAAGAAATTGTTTTCGTGCTGCCATGGAGCAGCCAAGTCAATAAAAACATTCTATCATTTGCTGTGAAACAGATGAAGACTACGAATATGACTCTTCTTCTTCGTTACTGCCTACTCCAAACATCTCCCACGCTGATGACAGATGGCTTCCTATCCTAACTTCCCACACATACATAGGTAAACATCACAGGTGTGTGCAATAGCTTAGGCTGACTGTGCTCTTCTGCAAGACTCAGCCACCCACAAGTTGAAATACTTTTCAAACACTAATTTTTCTAGAGTTAAACAAAAGTTTAAAAAGAGAAGCTGGAGCTATGCATAATTGTCGTCCCACAGTTTGACTTTTAGTTATCTTGTGTTATGCACAAACATTTTTACAGGTAATTGCTAGTTTCCTCAACTCCATGGTTTGTTCTGTTGCAGACACACTACTCCATGCGTATGAGTGGGCAGGCCTGTGTCTGAGTTTTTGGCACCAGAAGAAGAGAAATCGCTCTGGCCTGATAGATATTTCCTCCTCTGGTTAATTGTCAGAGCTGTGGGAGCCCTCGTTTTGCTTTGTTGTTGCCTGTGTCTCAGTTCAGGCATCTGGTTTAGGTGTGATTTAAGTGAAAATGTGTTTTTCCAGGGACCACTAGATCCTGACAAAGAAAAAATTAAAGTAATTTTATAATATTTTTTCTAAGGGCAATTGGGATCCTAATTAAATACACAGGTATCACCAGGTGCATTGTTGAGTAGACCCACAGTTGCTAAACACATTTAGGATCTTTCAGAACAGCTGCAGCAGAAAGCAGTCACACACTGTAAATTTCATTTTTTGGTCATTTTCTACCTTTTTGCAAACATGAAAACCAACAGTTATCATGTAAGAAATGCTAGCTTATCACAAAAAAATAACATCTCTATAAAGGCACTGTTGGGGATAATATCAACATTTACCATTGGAGTATAATGTACCATGTAGTCGGTGCCAGTGTGTATCCTTCAAAATAGTCACATATTTGGAAAGGTCTGCAAAAGATGGCTGAATTGAGAATTCTAAACCTTAGCAACCATACCCCCACCTTCACATTCAATGGGGTAGGCATGCTGTTAGTATGAAACCTGACTGACCACTATTAGGGGCAGGGTAAACCAGGATCTGACCGCATCTATTTGAATTAACATTCTGGTTTGGGGTTTTCAGCTTCAGGACTGGAAGTAATGCGCAGGGTATTAATTCTCAGAAGACATCATAGTTTCAAAATGTTAAGTTAAAGCTTTTAATAAGAATATAGCCAACTATTTAGTCCATATGTTAGTGGCTGCTTAGTGGATGTTATTGGTGAGTCATAGTTTGTTCTACTCACTTTAATGCGGCTGTACATCTCTTAACACTGCAGTAATGTAACGGTAATGATCAAACTTACCACTTCAACCATCTTTAAAATTCCAAAGTATGACTTGAGGTACTCCACGTCGCACCTTATCCCCCCCAAAACGTTCCTCGCATGGACTGGCTCGGTGGTGGGCTGATATGGACTGCTGGCCCCGGAGATCATGGAAGTGTTGGAGGCCTCGCCGTCAAAGCCGTCTGGCTCCTCGGTGGTCCTCATGATGATTTCGGGAGACGCTGGACTCTTGGCGAGAAATGTTACGACATATGTTTATACGCCTGGATCCACCGCACGGCGCAGGCTATGTTTCAATATAGCACACTTTGTTCCATACAGGCTTCAAGTGGATGCAGAAAACAAACCACAGTCCACTTTTCTTATCCACCCCACGGGGAAACAGCCGCGGAAGAAGGCGCTTTTTAACATAACGCGCAGGGAAATCAGGCTGCCGTCCCTTTAATGCAACCCTGCGGTGTTTTCCTCCTGGTTAACACTGTTGCGTCTCTCAAAATTAGCCGCACTTCTAACTATGTTAAGCGGGTCACTTGCTCGAATCCCACCGTGACCTTACCATGGACGAGCCTGGTTAGTTCAACAGCACCGAAAAAAATGCCTACCGGGCTGTGTGACTCGTTTCTGCGACCGAAAAACATCCACCCATAATGGACCAGAAGAGCCGAGAGACAAGCTTTCTTATTCCTATTGTAAACTTGGGCTTTTCTCTGCAGCAGCCTACAGTGAGGCAGCCTGTCCGCCGCTCTTCACGCTATGGATGCAAGGCAAGCTTGTCTCCGCCCCTCTAAAAACTGCACATTCTTGTGCAAGCTCTGCGCCCGTTTTTAAGTATACCCAAACAGCCTGCAAAACGAATCCACCCGGAACCACGCCGACAAGACCGGGCTGTGCTGCACATTTGCTGGCTCTTCTTTGTCCTCGTCGTAATGCCGATGCTGCAGCCTACAAGTTACATCCAACCAGGCCTAGCCAGGTTTAAATTATTTCTTTATTCTCCAGAGGATTACCGTGTGGCTGCTATAGTCCTGTTTATGGACTTTATATGCTGTCCTGTATCTTTCGGGGGGGGGGATATATCTTTATAATGGTCTCAGTAGTTTTGCTGTATTATCTGTAAAAACACATTATCACTTTAAAACAACAAATCCTTATGTCAAAGTATACGAAAAAATAAATATAACTGCTTTGCTATAGCTTAGAGTAGGCTAAAGGGCAGGCCAAGTCTTTTCATCTTAAAACGGTGCATTGTAGATACCAAGCAATAGTCTAAGGCGTTAATCATGTTGGTATGGTGGTTTACAGCTATATTTCTCCAAATTGATTTATGCATGTGAGACAGCAAAACATACTGCATTTGTTATCAGATGTCATGCCAATCATGTGAAGTAAACTTTTACAATGCAGGGACTGGCCTAATTTTCTTTAAATTAAAGAAACTGTGCTTCCCTGGACCTTACTGCCCTCCTGCGGTGGATACCTAGGTGATTGCAGAGCGCAAGAGATGCTGGGAAAGTGAATCCGATACCTGGGTGTTGCATCTGCATCCAAGCAGCTATTATCCTTTAATGAAGTGGCACATTTATCTGGATATGATGCCAGTGAAATTTCAGTTCAGGTTCTACAAAGATTAAAGACTCTGCTTAAATGTACAGTACAAATGTGCACATCCACCCTTCCAAAATGTTACTGTAGCTGTAATATGTGCAGTGTTGCAAACTTGTATGGCTTCAACGTCGTGAGGTGGATATAGGAAGTAAACATGTTTGGAGATTACAGGATACAGGCAGTTAAAGAATGTCTGGGTTTAAAAAAAAGAAACACTAAATAAATTCAGTTGAATAAATTCAGATTAAAGAGATCATGTGTTTAGGACTTAAATCAGAAACTGTATGACATTTTACATAGCAAATGTGATTCACAGTGGAAAATACACACTAGGACTGTACTACTTTCATCTTTCATAATATTGATGTGTATGGATACACAGGGGATTCTTCTGGCTGTCGGCACATTTGTTACAACTGCAATATACATATTTCGTGATGCTTGTGATTTTTCAGTGGTTGACGTGCAATGGTCAACAATCTGTCATTTTTTATTTACATTTATATTTTTAAATTGATCAATCAGCACAAAAGGTGATCAGTAAAATTAGTTAATGTCACTATCTCAAATTGTGTGCTTTAGTGTGGGGCTGGAGTGTTTTGTGTAACATTAAAAAAACAAACATTGTATAAATAAAAAATAGAAATGTAAAAGGCAAGCAAAAGTTGGATTCTTGGTTTTATTGAAGCCAGGGGTCTGATAAACATTTTACTTATCTTTGTCAGCATAAGAAGCTAAAATCCACATGGCAGCTTAGAGGCTACATAATTGTGTTAAAGTCATACAATCAAACTTCTGAATTACTTCAGGACACAAAGATGCAGCCAGCCATGTGCATACAATGTCTTGATACAAAAAGGACTGGAAGCAGAAGCTCAGTCTCATACAGATGTAGACTGTCAATAGTGGTCGAAGGCAATTCAGTTAGGACGTGAAGAGGCAGTTGCTTTCAACTGATGTTTAAATACAAAAGTTCAACCTTCATCCAGTCTTTACAAAGAGCAAGTGCAACTTTAAAACCAAGCAGCATGAGAGAACTTCATTCCGCTCAGCTACATGCCAAATTCTAACAAGTATGGCCAAGAAATATCAGTGTTGTCAATCAGGTTGGGGTGACATTTCAAAATTATTTTAAACAGAAAGTGACTATAGGCAAAACCATATGACAACAACAACAAAAAAAAACATGGATATAAACACAAACAAGGGGACGTTTCAAGGGCAAAATGGACAAAGCTGAAACTAAATGGAGATTTATTTGGTTCTACTTTAAGAAGTTCCAAAACATCAGATGTGACGAGAATGATTTCTTAAGGAGTGATATTAACTGCACAGTATCAGCAGAAAGGGGTTATTCCATAGTTAACCACCAGGGGCACCATCCATAACTTAAGCAGCAAATGCAGATAAATCAAGAAGTTTTATTGTATAGGTTAACTTCTCTGTTCATCACTAAATGCTCTGAAAAGGCAAGGCAAAAGAAAAATATGCATTCTGTATTGTTAACTGTACCAACAGGGAACTGATACAAGTATCCAAGGAAAAGTGCTTATTTCAACATGTGGTGGGACTTCTCCTGGCTGTTTAATTGTGCTTCATTTCATTTCGGCAACAGACCCTCAGGTGCACATTCCACCCAGTCACAAAAAAATGGGGAAAATAAAAGGAAAATATAAATAAATAAAAAAAACAGTAAGAGCTTCATTTTTTTTTTTTATCAAAAGTAAATCCAGACCATTTTGACAACAAATCAAATCATGTATGACATACTGTACACCAATATGATCTTGTGATTATTCCTTACAGAGAAAATCTGAAAAAGAACGGCGTGAAACCCAAATTGCATTGTATTTGTAGACCAGTTTAAAGAATTTACCATAATCGACCGTACACAATTGTTTGTTTTTTTCTGAAACCCCAGATATGGTTGAGTGGAGTAAGGCATTTCTACCATTTTTACAGGGTGCTATTCAAAAGATGAGATCATAAGCAGGTCCGAGGGTCGGAGTGCAAGGGCTCCATGTAAAAGTAGGACAACAAATGGCCACTGGTTAATCTTATGGACAATTACCAACTATAAAAGCAGAAAATAGTGCTTATCTTTGGTTCCAATTCACTCCATTTTTCCTTTTTTGCTATTATCTGAATAGCAAATAGCTGCTCTCGTGACACTTGCCACTGATTCTGTGAAAGCTACTGATGTACACTATCCATAATATTAAGCAGGGCCCTGCATACAGATTTAAGAATGATAATGTACACTTAATTAATTGGCATTAGATAATGGTATCATGAAACCATAAATAGTAAAGATTATCTGATATGGTACAGTATAATGGTTAAAAAAAGAGAAGAGAAGTTACATAAGACAATTAAGCAACCCCTTAAGGACACAAATTAATTAGGAGCATTCCTGCGAAGGCAGGGTGCCCAGTGTGACAAACTGTTAGCTGTACATTGAAGGCAAAGGTTGTCTTTTTAAATGGGCACTAAGAGACAGAACAAAAAAAAACCTGACTGGACAAACAGGTTACCTACAGAGGTGTGTTTCTACAGCCACTTCAGGTAGAAACTGGGAATGTTTTAACCGACATGCGAAGTACAGTGTGAATAAAACGTGAAATTACAGGACAGTGGTGTCAAAGACTAAAAAGGACACAATATCTCATTTTGTTAAAACCACAGCAAATCATTGTGTCTCTTTTGGCTGCAAAGCAAGCGGTTTCAACCATAGTAAGTGTTCGGCTGGGGGTTTCAAAAGTGCCATCACGTGGTTTCTTCTTAATATCAGCAGCCATTGCAGTACGTATGAAAGCATTCAATCTATTGCTATATTGAACACTATCAGCTAGGCCACTTAAATCTTATTTCTGAAAAATAACAGAGACCACAGGCTTGTTGTACATAAACAAAAACATAAAATGAAATAAATTATTTGGATGACAAGAAATGGACAAATACCTTTTAACTGATGGTGCTACAGTGCATTTCCTCTATTGTAGACAAGCACCTCTACTATGACATAAACAGCTAACTGTGCGAGGCACTTAGGAGTTATAGTAGGAAAGATGCTGCCCAACCCCCTCCCCAAATATTCACACCTGTAGCTTTGTTGAAATCTCTAAGCCTCTCAAATCCCAACCAGTCTCATTTAGTCAAAGAAGCTATTTTCAGAATTTGGACAGAATTGCATTTTATACAAAATCAAAGTTAACCTGAATAGATTTTTTGTATTCATATTTACAGAATCCATCGAGATGACTAGGGCAAATTATATGATATGGTATCAGCTATCTGGACTTGTCATATTAGTGTCATGGCGTCAGTGGCATTTTTAACATACTATGTGATATAGATGAATGTTTCCTTAAACTGATAAATGGTGCACAAAATAAAATAAAAAGGAACTTTGTATAAATACATCAGTATCATATCCAACATTTTCTTGTACATACTACATATGTTTGGAAGTATTTTAATTACCTTTTGTCAATTAATATATTTAAAGTTTAAATACCTTTCCAATCACAGTCAAATTCCTTCTAAGCTGAACCAGAGGCCACATGACTTGTCACATTCCCAGTCTTTAAACCCATAAGGAGAGGGTGTTGTACCCCAGAAACTGAAGGGGGCCTGCAGTCCAGCACATCAGTCTGGCTGCCAGGGAGTGTGCACACATTTCCATAAACTGACAACCCTCACAAAATAACATTTACAGTGGAAGAGAGGACAGAAATAAAGCCAAGCCTTCAGCTCTTATCATTGCATTAACACCTCCATCTCTGTTATGCATCTCTTCCCATCTCACCAGAACACCAAAATATCTTATAGCATCTCAAACTCATTTTGGTGAAACCACTGTGTCCTGACAGATATAGACATTGGGAATTTGGTCAATTTGTTTACTCTCAGATGTACATGTATTTTTCCAGAGTATTAATGCGGTGGACAATGCAGCCGTTTTTGTTGCCTTCACGCTTCGTTCTCTGTCGGCGGTGGTATGTTGTTAGCTGAAACCATGGAGTCTTGTTTGCGAGTCATCCTGTCCAACTCAGCCTGGACATCAGTCAAACCCGGCTTCTGCCCTTGGGAAAAACAGGAGACAAAGTCCAAAAGTAATCTCCTGTAGCTTCTGTGTGATTTTAAATATCAGTTTTCTATGGCCAGCAAGCAGATGGATGACGGCTGGATGGTGATCCGGTCCCATGCTGGAGACTGACGGCTCGTGGCCACAGTTAA